ACCAATAAAAAGGCACAGAGAGGTAGGCTGAATCAAAAACAAAACCTAACCAGCCCTGGCTTAGCTGCTCAATTGGCTCAAAAATTTCAAGTCCTATTCCCATATTTAAGGTTGCAGGTTCGATCTTTGGCAGAGGCATATGAGGGAGGCAACCAATTGAGGTTTCTCTCCCACAATCAATACTACTTTCTCATTCTCTCCTTTACTCTTTCTCTCTCTCTCTGAAAATCAATAAAAACATATCCTCAGGTGAGGATTAAACAAATCCCAAAACAAACAAAACACAAAACCCACAACCATATGCTTAAAGAGACACATCTAAGCTGTAAAAAGAAAGACTCAAAGTGAAAGGATAAAAAATGATTCTCCAAGCAAAACGCATTCACAGAAAAGCAGGAATAGTCATACTTACATCTGACAAAGCAGATTTCAAAATAACAAAGGTAACAAACGACAAAGATGGATATTTTATACTATTGTAATAAAGGGTAGTGACCACAGCAACCTCGGTTCAGATCTGAGTTACGGCATCAAGAAAGAAGAAGAAAAAATAATAATAAAGGGTATACTAACATCAAGAAGACACAACCCTTCTCAATGTACACTGAGTGGCCAGATTATTATGATCTCTGAAAGCATAGTAATCTGGCCACTCAGTGTATATCCTATATAATAAAAGGCTAATATGCAAATTGTCCCTTCAACCAGGAGTTCGACCAGGAGGCAGGCCAGCCAACCGCCCAGACCCCACGCATGCATGAATTCATTACAGGGCCTCTAGTATACACGCACACATACATATACACACTGAGTGGCCAGATTATTATGCATTCAGAGATAATAATAAGCTGGCCACTCAGTGTATATGCACCTAATCAGGGAGCACCAAAATATATAAAGCAACTACAAACAAAACTAAAGGGAGAAAAAAAGTTAAAGACAGTACCTGAAAACCTTTTCTGATTTGTTCAGAATAAAGCCCAGATATTCTATTTTTGAAAAGCTTCCCAGGATTGAAAATTGCCTAGAACAGCAATTCTCAAAACCCTGGAACTTGTTAAACATTCACAGTACTGAACTAGCACCCTTGGGGGTGGGGCCCAGCAACTCTGTTTTAACACACCCTCCCTGTGATTCTGCCGCTCACTCAAATTTGAAGCCACTGACCCAGACTATGAGCTTCTACATTCTGTATATCCAGCTCCTGCAGTCCCGCAAAACCTAGCAAATTGCTTTGTGCATTGTCATACCTCAATAAATGCTTGCTCAATTTAATTTAACAGTGAATGATAAAGCAGAAATGAGCACTGGGACACTTGGAGATGATTACTCTAAAGGTAGCAGCTAAAGCATCACTCTGACTTTCTAAAGTAGATAAAAAATTTATTTTAAAAGCAATAAAGAAAGTCAGATCACTCAGGTTAGTAAAAGCACTGTTGACCCAAAAAGGATCTTATCAGCTTACAGTTTGTTAAGTCACTGTCCATTGAAAATATGCAATAATTTATGTAAGCTATTGGACTAGTAGTTTAAAAATTACTTCTGTGGTTCTGGGAAACAATGCACAGCAATTAAAAAGCTGTTTGTATCATGAAAGATCTACTTAGAAAACACAGCATTCATGTGGCGGTGATGTGGCCCAGATTTGATGAGGATGGCCAGATTTCAGAAGAACACCTTCTAGGTAGCATCTGGAAAGATAAGATGCCTATAAAGAGAATGAGCTGATCAATTTACCTACTGAATAGAAAGTGAAACAAATAAATCCAGTTTTATGCAACTGTTTTCTATCTTGAGAAATTAAACAGTTGAAGTTACTCTAGGAAGTTACTCCAGCCTCACCACATGCCTTTTCTAATTGGCATCCTGAAAGATTACAGAAAAAGGTGTTGTTTTGGTATTGTTGACTTAAAGGTTATCTAGTCATAGAGAGGCAGAGGAGGATTCACCTTCAAAATTCATCTATTTATTGAAAACCCATGGAGTGCCTTGGCAATTAACAATTCCTACCACCTCTAGCTGTTCCCTATGTGAGAAGGCTCCGAACTCATCTTACAAATTGCTCTTCTGAAGATCAAAGGGAAGCTGAATGTGTCTGTGGATGCGCTCCATGAGACTGTAATTTAATGGGATTTTTAGAGAAGGCTTGCTGGCAGTGTTTAGATGACAGCCCTGGGGCAGAGGATTCAGGGGAGCTTGGCCACTCTTCCCTTTGGAGTGTCTTCCCTGTCTTTAATTGGCACCTCATTAGAAATTAATGAAAATGACATCCTCTGTTCTTCCTGCTCTAGGCATCGAATGCTACAAAAAGGCCCATCACAATTCATAACACATTCAATTTATATAGCAATGGCTCTTAAACATTATTTATGAGATGTGAATTTCTTGTCAGCAGTTAATAACCTGTACAAAGTTGAAGAGGAATGGGAAAAAAGATTGTGTGTGTGTGTGTGTACACACACACACACACACACACACACACACACATTTTCTGCAGTGGAGAAGTGTGCTGATTGAGTACAAACTATGTTCCTGAGTCGTCACTTTCAGTAGTGAGTTATTGCAACACGCCACCCCCCCCCCCCCCTTCATAAAACCTTTCAGGGCAGTTAATGTCTCTCTAACACTCCATGCATCCTCAAGTTAATAACCATACAATTCACCCTTTCCTGGAGACATCCAAGCAGACAGGCAGGAGAAACACAAGAGCTATTTGTCAAAGACAGTCCCAGAGGTGTATGTTCCCATTGCTGTCCTTCATCTTTTGAAATGTGGCAGGTGACTCAGGCATTTTTCTGGGCACAGAAGTTTAATGCTCTCAGTGGGCCAAATGGAACTCATGGCTCTCTCTAGGAAGGATACATCCGGAGGGACTGCAGCAAGCTCAAAACTTTCTTTCCCACCAGAAAAATCAAATCTCTCCACAAGCAGGTCCTCAGAATTGGGCATAAGCCAAGGGACTACGTATTATATATATCTTTAAAAAGAATGCACGTCTTTTGCCAAACCAATAGGCACTCTGAAATCAGCCTCCTATCCTAAGAGGTGAAGAGCACAGCAGAGTAATCCATGCTTACCAGAGACAAGCTTACTAGAGACAATCAAGTTGGCTTCACTTAGAAGCAAGCGATGTATTTCTAGATTTTTTTCCCCAGCAGTGCTGAAGACCTTAGGAAAACAGGTGGTTTGCATCCAAGCTGAAAGACTTGGTTACAAGTCTCAGGGCTAAACTGGGAACTCTATTGCTTGCCTGTCAAGGAGATGAACTATTATGACAGAGGCAAGATGGAACACGCAAGGACCAACTGCTTGATACACTAAGGCAAATCCTTTTTGGTACCCAGGATTCAGTTACTTTCCAGAAGGAAAAGTGAACACTAACGTCCAGGAAAATCTCATGATTCTAATTTAGGAACAACCAAAGGTCTATGTTATATAGAAGCAACAGCAAAAACGGTCAGGTACGTTTTGCAACACTGGCAATGAACTGAACTGCTGAACCCCCCAATAGTTCACACGGAGACCAAAGCAGAAAGGCTATGACAAAAAATCCAACTCTGCAATATGGGTAAAGGTGGTTAGCTATCAGGCCCCCGTGTTTCCTTAGCTAACCATGGTATTCCCTCCTTACCTCATCAAAAGTTACTTCGGAGGGTTGATCCAGGAGCAGTCTATAATAAATAAAATTCTGGGCTCACCTGGGCCATGCAACATGCATGAACACAACTGAAGTATGAAAGCTCTGCTGATAGCATCTGCCCCCACCTCTTACCCAGCCATCCTCTTTATACTTCCACACAAGCATTTAGGAGAAAATGAAATGCCAATCTAGAAATAAAAACTTGTCCACTGACACCTAGACTCCCCATGTTGCCATTAAATATCCCCATTTCTGCAGTTGAATATATGCTTCTGATCTTGTTATTCCCCTTCTCTCCCCGCCCTCCCCCCAAGTGTGCAACAGGCAGAAACAGGAGTTCCAAGTTAGTTTCCATGAGAAGCTGGTACTCCCTTGTTTCCTTCTCATTTCCAACAGGGCAGAAGATTGAGGGACAAGAGCAGCAACAGCTGCATCTTCAGAAGATGAAGGACTTGGAGTGCCTGTAATTTCCTAGCTGCTGAGAGAACCATCTAGTCCTGGCCGCCGGCTTCAGTACTTATAGACTAGCTATGACTATCCAAGGGGTGAAAGGAAGCTTCTTAAGCTCATACCCAAGGACAATGACATAGAATTCTGAGAGGCTAGACCTAGGCCTCAAAGTTGGCCTGATGACAGCTCTGTCCCATACAACAGTTTGGTAATATTAAGATTTAAAATAGAGAAATAGGAATAGGGACAGAAAGACTTTTAAGTCAGCCTAAATGCTGCAGCTATACAATTATGTGTGGTTGAAGGGAGGGAAATGACTGGTCTAAATTTTGTTCTACTGTGGGTTCGCATAAAGTTTTTAAAAATATATCTCTGTGCAACAACTCTAAGAGTTGATATTACACTGGATAGATAATACAGAAGAGGCTACTTTAAAGTTATTTTCATGGGGTTAACTGACAAATTATGGTTCAAAGAAAATGATTTTCTAATCAAACTAATCTAAAAAGGATATGGGAGAAGAAATCTTCCATTTATTACACATAGTAAAAGACTCATTAAAAATTAATTTACTATCTGAATTTTATAGTACATATATCCCAGAATTTGGCTGGTTTGGTTAATTTCTAAATAAGTCATCAATGAGAAGGAACCAGAGTAATCAATGGGAAGAAGTTAAAGCAGTAAGCAATGACAATGCAACTTTGAAGACATGTGACAAAATAGTGGGGGGTGTTTTTGCTTCTTTGTATGTGCTTAGAACTAAAAATCCCCTACTCCTGATTTCTCAAACTCTAAACTATTGCTTTCAGGGAGGTTTCTGGAAGAAAAAGGAGTTCAGACTCTTAGAATAATTTCCAAAGCTATGACAGGACCTCGTCTCCGTCATGTCACTGGGGGAGATGCTTACCACAGCGGCACGATCCCAGTTCCTGCTGCACCAGCTCCAGTTTGGTTTGGCACTGGAAGCACCGACGTCGACTCTTCTGCTTAGATCGGCTGGTTTCCTCAGGTCGTTCAGTGTTCTCCAGTAGTCGTGGCCGTTTCACTGGCGAAGCCTCATTCTCAGACTGTGAATCTGACCAAAACAACACATTTGGGGGTCAGGGTTAGTGCTTGGCCTGGCAAGCACAGCAATTAATGTGCTCCAGGCATTCTACTGCCCTTTTCCAGGAATTGGATCTGTGTAAGCAACAGCCAGCTCTGACTGGCCTGGTTTCTACTCCACAAAGTGTGACAAGCATGAACCTTCAGGGATTACTTCTAATGGGCTAGATCTGAACCAGGAGAGGAGAGAGGGAGTGGCTCCACAAAAGTCTGTTGTTTTTAATTTATTTTTTTACTTTTTTTATTGATTTTTTTTACAGAGAGGAAGGGAGATGGATAGAAAGCTAGAAATATGAATGAGAAACATCGATCAGCTGCCTCCTGCATACCCCCCACTGGGGATGTGCCAGCAACCAAGGTACATGCCCTTGACCAGAATCGAACCTGGGACCCTTCAGTCTGCAGGCCGATGCTCTATCCACTGAGCCAAACCGGTTTCGGCCAATTTGTTGTTTTTAATAATGGCTGTCTTTATGAGACCATTCAAATTAGTAATTCTTTAGAGAAGGGACTATGTCTAGTACTTCTTTCTATTGCCATGTTTAACATAACTCCATACTTAAAGCCAGTGTTTTGATGGGTGATCTATAATCTTTTCTAGCAAAAATACTCATGTTTCTACTCCTAAATGGACAAGAATCAGTTTCTAATATTGTAAATTATTTCTGTATTCGGAGTTAAGGAATGTATCCCTGCTTGTTTATCAAACAGCTGCCCCAGGCCTCCACTGTGGAATGGCAGAGAGGCAACACTTGGTACCACAACACACCCTAGGGTTGATGCCAAATTGGCAGGTGGAGGGAGGCGTAACGTGACAACTTTTATTTCACATGACTTTAAAAAAGTAACTAAATGCAATAAAGTTCATGTTATAGGCAGGCTGGTAATAACTCTTGCCTTCCAAAGAAGGGCAGCATTTGGGGGCTCTGCGCTGCTGCAAGTGCCCCCACTGCTTCCTGAGGATGCACTCTTGCCAAGGTCCCGGAGTGGTTTGTGCTAAAGCACCTCTGGGAGGAAGCCTGGATGATCTTCCTTAAAACAGATCCAGATCCTTCCACTTCTCACTCCTCTACCACTTCCAACACTGGTCCAATTCATCACCATCTCACCCAGCCTAGTAAAACAGCTGCTTCCCTGGCCTCCCTGCTTACCTCCTTACAGTAGATTCTCCACACAACAGTCAAGTGATCCAGTTCAAAATAAAGTTAGAATTACTTCACTTCCTTGCCTGAAACCCTCTCATAACTTCCCGTCTCAGAATAAAAGTTCAGATTCTTACCTGAGACCTTCAAAAGTCGCTACCAGATGTGCCATCCTCTCCTCTCTCACTTCATCTCCTGCTGCTCTCTCCACACTGGCCTCCTCATTGTCTTACCTCAGGGCCTTTGCACTTTCTGCTCCCTTTGTCTGGAACACTCTTCACCCAGATCTATTATATATGGGATCTAACCTCATTTTAAGTCATTTTTCCTTTTTAAATTACAGTTAACATACATTATGTTTCAGATGTAGTGATTAGACATTTATATAACTTACAAAGTGAGTACCCTTTTCAATGAAGTCTTCTCTGGTCATCCTATCTAGACCGCTCTTGTCCCCCTTCCCTAGCTTTTCCCTTTCATTCCTCCATAGCACTTTTAACATTATCTCCCAGGAGAATATAAACTCCTGGAGGATAGGAAGTTTCACCTACTTTGTTCACTAACATGCCCTCCATGCCTACAACTCAATATATATTTCTTGAATGACTGAATCTTCTCCTAGGCAGTCCTGATTTTCTATTTAAAGTGGCTCTAGTGAGAAGCAGCAGACAGTTGGATGCATTTCAATGAAGGCTGTCTGCATTCCTTTCCCCGGTCTCCTTCTGTCTGAAGAAGATGCTGCACTTCATCAGAGAGCACTCACTGGTCCCGATAGTGACGATGGTGACAGTTCGCTCCCAGCCCCCAGCCCATGGCACTGTGCACTGACTTACGGAAGTGTAAGGCACACACTATTCTTAGCAAGTGTAAACTTCATTTTTCATCTCATTTAGTTCTTCCTGTCCTACATGACATTTTCCCCAAATACAAACCAACTAAACAAGGCCTTTGATGAAAACAATTGAAAGCAAGTTCAGCCTATTTCCAAGCTCTGCTGAGAGAAGCTGTCCAAACCCAGTCAGTGTGATGACTGAGGCAGGTACAGACACACCAGGCCCCCTCCCTTTCCCCTACAAGAGCAACAAGCAACAATCTAAATGTAAATCATTACAAAGCAGCCAGCCAAAAGGAATTCACCTTGCATGAACCACACTGCTCTTCTTCGGGGGTCCTTTTTCACAAATCAGCAATGGCACTATTTGTATAATGACCCTATTTAGACACCCTCCCCTCCCCCGTTTTTGGCAACAAAAGGAGAAAATTCTAGAGCACGTGTCAAACACAAGGCCCGTGGGCCAAATTCGTCCCGCCAGGCCTTGCAATGTGGCCCGCACCGCGCTGTCATCACTGCACTCCGCTGCGTTTCCATCACAATGACAGTTTATGACTGTTCAGTAAACCATTCGGCCCGCGATTTAGGCTGGATTTTAGATTTTGGCCCCTTCTCTGATTGAGTTCGACACCCCTAATCTAGAGTAAAAGCTGTAACAACAAAACAAAATAAAACACAATGCTATTTGTTCTGAGACAAAGTCCTAAATCTGGAACATCCTTATAAGAAATTACCCCTCAACGCTGGTGGATGGGGTGGAGAAGAGAAGGGCCCACCTAAGAAGGGGAAGCAGTTGAATCCTTGGCACTTATTAATATTGTTAAAATTTAAAAGGCCCTGACATGATGCAGCACACCTCAGACCACAAGCCCGTCATTCACACTGCTATCTGATAAAACTGCCTAGGAATGCAGAGCTCACAAAGCCAATTTTCACATGAATCTGTCCCGAACTGTCAAATTCGCTGTCTAGCTGCATAGCACCACCTCCATTTCTAAAGCAAACCTTTGCTACAAGAAGACAATTTTCTTTCAACATGGCAATGCTATCCATAGATATTTTTTTTTGATAAGCCAGAAAGTGATATATGAAGAACATATTTTAAAATGTATGATTCCTAAGAATGGGAGACACGATTCATATTTACATAATCATAATCATTACTGATCATCACCAAACAACACACTTGATAGGGTCCCCCAAGCCTAATCTCTTTTCTTCTAATTTCCCACCTCATCTGGCCAATGAGCATTCAATAACAAAACTAAGGACTCAGTCTTCTTGATCTCATGCTGAAATATTCTTTTATCTACTTGATACCATAGATCAGTGTTTTTCAACCTTTTTTGGGCAAAGGCACACTTGTTTCATGAAAAAAATCACGAGGCACACCACCATTAGAAAATGTTAAAAAATTTAACTCTGTGCCTATATTGACTATATATAAAGTAATTCTCTTGAATAGGAATCAAATAAACACAAAGAAAGTATTTTATAATTACTTTATTATTAAATATTAAGTAAACAAAATAGTGAAAGATTATAAAATTCTTGTCTTGTCTGCACCTACGGCACACCAGGCAACATCTCGCGGCACACTAGTGTGCCGCGGAACAGTGGTTGAAAAACGCTGCCATAGATGAAGACTACTAGTTATTTGTTCTGGTAGGCAGCCTGGGACACTCCTGAAATAACGGGTCCCAATGGAGGTTTCTGATGCTGCCAAGAGTGTCTGATAGTCAATGTCCCAGCAGCGCACAAGTCTCAGACCAAAGGCATCAGCATATAGAAAATCTGAGCCACGAGAAGAGTCCTCCCATGATCCTAAACCAAGACGCACACACTGTTTACCAGAATGTTATTTTTTAGAATCAAGGAGCTGTCCCTAGACATTAAGAGATCCATAACTTTTACGCTTGGAATATGTCCAATTAACCTTGTTCACTCAGTCCAGGTCTATTAAATGGAAAGGAATCCTGTGCCCTCCAATGCCCTTACCACAAAGCGGGAGGGAGAATAAACTCCCTAAACGGTTTGCCATCACCATCCTCCACTCGGTGCATCACTTCTTGGAGAAGCAAACCATTCCCTGGCATTTTCTCACCAACCAACCTGCTGTTCCAATTAGAAGTTAATGAAATAAAGAACGGTCTACAGGATCATTATCATGTCTGCATAAGAAATTTACATCTCCTCTGCTAATTATTTAATGAAACTTTGTGCCATGGGGTGAGTTGCCTAAATAAGAGAAACAGATGTCCAGGGCAAGGATTCTAATTACATAATAATGAACCAAATAATTCAACTATTCAATTATAAATTTTATGTCCATTTAAAAAAGATCCAAACATAGTCATACTAAAGGAATACTCATCTACAGTCCACATTTGAATAAATCTAACTGTGATACTTTACTTTTTGATCACAAACATAATATCCTGCAGCACTTTTAATTTCCTCAACGACGACAGGAAACACCTAACAGTCTACTTGCCTAATGTGAACTTGGGCAGCAAGGGTTAAGTATGGAGAGAAAAGTGAACAGAAATAACTCTTACATGCAGTTTTAACTGTCAGAAAAAAAACCCACAAAAACGAGTCCTTGCAAGGAGCATGCTCATTAGCAGCAGGCGGAGCTGTAGTGGCAAGCTAGAAAGTGTCCCCACCCCAGGAATTATGAGTGATTTCTAATTAAGATCTTTCTTAAAGGGCCAGCAAAGCACATTTTCCCCCAGTATGCCTTTTCTTGAGAAAGTAATCTAGTCTGTATATACCCACACAAGAGCTGCCACACTCCCATGCCAGATTCATAGTTCTTGGTACTTACCAGACCCTTTCTTTCTCTGCCTAAATTTAACAGAATGAGAATAATATATCAGGTATTTTAGACAAAGGAATGTCTGATCAAGAATTACAATGTGATTAACCTAGAAAGAAAAATCTTAGAAAAAGTATTTTACCTATGAACTCCCTAGATTTGAAGGTAGCTAGTGCTAA